GCTTCTTTAAAGTTAACAGAAAATAATTCCTCAATTGCAATTGTCCTACTCAACCTTTCTCTTCTCTCTTCTTTGGTGGAGGGGGAGGAAGCTTTTCATAAATTAGGAATTGGCTATGTTTTGATGGCTGCAGATATGATCACTGCCATATTGGTGTTGATCACTTATAAGATTTCAGACATGAACACTCATTTAAGTGATATGTGATATCATTTAACCACTCTATAGTTAAGATCATCTTGTACTTTCTTCCTGACCATGGTTTGTTCTTTTGTACCCTTTGTATTAGCCATTGAAAGTAAGAAAAAGACATCTAGCACTTTAGAATGAGTAACCATGTCCCCTGTTCAGGAATGGGAAAGATTTCTTTCCTACTATGTATTTTAACTTTACCATAGTTGCCTTAGTGTGGATCACATTAACTATTGCAACTTGATCTGTGTCCTTTGATTTCTGATTCCTTTTCAGGGAGATTGGCTCTCCCTTTGTTAAAGAGACTCAGTCTATCAACCTCCAAGCTGAATAGTTTGGCCATAGGACTGCGTCAGATTGCAGCGTCCTCGCAAAATAGCGTTGGCCGTGTCCTTAGAAAGACGAGAATAGCAAAGGATTTGGAACTCGAGCAAGTGACTGTGCCTATTGGGGTCTTGCTGGTGATTTTTGAATCCCGCCCTGATTGCCTTCCTCAGGTATGGTCTCATTTCTATCAGTATTAATATTGTTTACTGTGAAATGGAAATATACCTTCTTTACCAATTCTTTGGTAATATTTTTGCCTCTCCAAAATAGAATTTCAGTCTCAAACTCATATGCTTGTATGGTATATATTTCATTTATGAGGCAGATCTTCCCCTAGTGGATTCATATCATAATTCATTTGGTATTATGCAATAATAGAGAAAAACTAGACAATGTGCCTGGGAATTCTCAGAGATTTGGTCCAACATATCTCAAGGGTGCCAGATGGAAAGAGGCTGTTCTGGTAGACTAAAGTGGTACTGTGATGTTGTTCTTTAGTGTTGGTCTCTCTTTTCTCCTGATAGGTATCTGCTTTGGCTATTGCTAGTGGAAATGGTCTGTTGCTCAAAGGAGGCAAAGAGGCTTTACACAGCAATCAAATCCTTCACCACCTGACTCAAGAAGCACTTTCAATTCATGGGGTGAAGGATGCAGTGCAGCTGGTGAGTGCTTAGGAACACAATATGGGGAATGGGTCACTCCAGTAGGAAAAGGCATTGTAAGGTAAGGAAATCTCAAATTGATGTCAAAATCAGATGTATTTTGGAAAGAAGAGTAAAAGTAACATGGTACTGCTCTTTTTCTGTGTTTAAGAAAAAGCTTGATACTTGGAACTTGATACTTGGATGAGGAAATAAAGTGAGAATTACTGATAGAAAAAAACTTCAACAAAGTTGTTTTCTGTTGGAAAGATATGTTGCAGTTTACTGCATCTGAAACAGATTTTTTTCCCTTTCTAATTGCAATCTGCTGAGCTTCAGCTTAATGGATGGCTCTGCATCAAATCATTAAAGCCAGTCACAACTTAAGGATTTGTGCAGTGCAAGGAATTCTTTTGGAACAGGCAAGAATTGTGCGAATGTTCTTCATCTGAGACTGTGGACCACCCAAGGCTTTTCCACTTGAGAATTTGTGACGGGCTGCACAGGCTGTTCCAGACATTTGTTCTCTAGAGTTGAGTTTTAACAAGCTTGTTGTTCACACTTGTACACATCAGCTTCCAAAATCAAATAGGACTTCATGAATAGTGTGAACAGTGTTTATAAACAACTTTTACTTTCAGACTTTCAAAGTGATTTACAGTGATTACAAAAGCACACATTGAAAACATCATAAAAATAGGATGAAAGAAGAATGAAAACAGAATAAAAATACCCCATAAAGGGGAATTTAGCCACTGCAATGGTTGATACAAAATAAATAATTTAAAAAATAACTAAAATATGTTTGCATAGCGGCCTGACAGAAATATTTTTGTTCATCTGTTTTGTGTTTAGTCTCATGCTGAATGTTCACGCATTCACAGAATTCACTTAGGTATGTGTATTTATATAAACTAGTATTTGTGGTTTGACTGGTTTGGTTTTTACAGGTGAATACCAGGGAGGAAGTGGAAGATCTTTGCCGATTAGACAAACTGATAGATTTGATCATTCCCCGTGGCTCTTCTCAGCTGGTTCGGGATATCCAAAAAGCAGCCAAAGGAATCCCGGTGATGGGGCACAGTGAAGGGATTTGCCATGTGTATGTGGATTTGGACGCCAGTGTTGAGAAGGTTACTAGAATAGGTGAGAGGTTTTGTTTCTTAAGAGTGGGCATGGAGGAGATGAACTATCCCCATGGTTTCCATATATCTATATATTTCAGATGTTGTAGAGCAGCCTTCTGCTCCAAATGTACAGTAAACCTGCCAGAATTCTTAAATATGGGAGCAATAGTCCAACACATCTGGAGGGCACCACTTAGAAGAGTGCTTTGTAGCATCTTTAAAACATGCCACTGAATTAAACCAATTGTCTATCCTCCTTCCAGTGAGAGACTCAAAATGTGAATATCCTGCAGCCTGCAATGCTTTGGAGACACTGCTAATACATCGGGATTTGCTGAGAACTCCTGTATTTGATCAGATTATTGACATGTTGCGGGTGGAACAGGCAAGTGAGGATGGCTTCCAGTGTAGGTTAAGTATAAAAAATTGCCTGTCAGTAATTTCTATGCAACGTGGGGTGCTGTCTAAAGGATGATGCTATAGATGCATACACTGAGAAATTTCTAAAGGCAGTAAGGTGTCATATCATATTTAGCAAACTAGTGGTAGCATTTGTTTGCCCTGATAGCACATATTGATTGAAGCCAGGCTTTCTAATGGAGCATCTTAGCTTTGGGATTCTCAAGATGCTTGCAGTCCTATTTAGATTGGCAGCAATAGAAAATAGACGTTTGGAAATGAGGTTCTTTTTGAGGGTCCTGAATATAATTCCTTGGAAACACAGTATTCTTCAATAAAAATGGGTTGATTATTGTGTAATACTCTTGAAGCAGGATATAGGGCTGGATAGTGAAAGAATTTTTTCCACAACTTAAGCTGAGAGCCTTATACATTGACTGAAACAAGCAGATATGAACTAGCCCCACAAATGAGACGGAAGTTCTTCATCTAGGTTACTCTGTACATTTTTGTGACTAAAAACATTTGACCCAACAATGAGAGTTTTTTCCCCCCCAGAAACACATAGAGAGGAATGTAAGACATTGTCCAAAGCTAAATTAATGTATGCAGCCTGGAAATTCTGAGAGGTGCAGTCCAATGCATCCCGAAGATCCCAGGTTGGAGAAAATTGATTTTCACTGATTGGTGGTGGCTCTGTCAAGTTTCAAACATGGACTTTTCTGGCTCTATCTGGAAATGCCACTGATTGAATTAGGTATTCTGCATGCAAACACACATCTAGCACTCTACTCACCTTGGCTGGATTCACACTCTGGATAACTTTGTGCCAGTCGCCCTCTCAGCCCAGCTTACGTTACAAGGTCATTGTTGTGGGAATAAAATAATGGGAGATCCTCATGTAAGCCACCTTGAGCTCCTGGAGAAAAGGCACAATATAAATTTAACAAATAAATAACATGATTTGTTTGGTTGTATGAAAGCACAGTCAATAACCTGTGACTTATGGCTTAGTAAAATGTGCAAACCTAATTATGGCTTATTCCACCAACCATGATTAGGCAAGTCACATTGTATAATGTGTGATTTGGGTATGTAGCCAACCTTTTTGTGCAGCAAATGCTTAGAAAAAGAACATACTATGAAGTGTGTTTGTCTTTCACCAGGTGAAGATACATGCTGGACCCAAATTTGCTTCCTATCTAACATTTAGTCCTTCGGAGGTAAAATCACTTCGCACAGAATATGGGGACCTGGAGTGCTGCATTGAAGTGGTGGACAGTGTACAGGATGCTATTGAGCACATTCACAAATATGGGAGCTCCCACACAGATGTAATCATCACAGAGAACGGTTAGTGGCAAAATTGACTACCCTGGTGCATTGAAATGCATGTGTCTGTATGAGGGTTTCAGGGTGGCATCAGTTGGCATGAAGACTGCTTCTGAAGTTCCTGTTTAAGGGGGTGAGACTCCTCACAATGTGTGCCTCTCTTCCCTTGCATGTCCTGTAACATTTGAAGATATGGGCCACAGCCATATCCTAATCCTAATAATGACAAAATGACAAAACCGCATCATGACATCACAAAAGCTCTGCCCTGTTGTAGTTGCATCACAGTGTCACAGAGAAGTATGTAAGGGCAGAGGTTGCATCATAATGCCACAATGCACACTTTATCACTTGCCCCCCTGGTCTCCTGCCAATGCCTCTGGCTACGGCTGCTTCCTCATTAGCATTTCCAGTCCCAGATCTGTGAGTAAGGCTCACAAGGGAAGGTGCTCTTGTCATCTTCCTTTATGTGGTCTGGATTTCCTAATGTTTCCAGAGAAATGCAAATGGACCATGTCGTGGCATCCTTATTCCATAAGTAACATCTGAAAGAGGCCTCCCTATGACCAGTGTTTAATTATTTCTCCCCAAGGCTGTTCACTGTTGCTAGAGCTCTCAGCTGCCCATTGTTCCATGCTTCCTCCACTGATCTGTTTGGAGAGAACTGTATAACACTACACTCATTCTTTGGGTACGAGTCCTTCTGTTGGCCAAAACAATGCATCCATAGAGAAGCTGGGAATTATCAGCAGGGCTTGGAGCTGGTTCTTTGAATGCTTTTAAAACTAAGAGGGGGTGGAGACCAATGAAGAGAGGGAGGACTCCTGTGAGGATTTAGTGCTTCCAGTGGCCACCGAAAGTTGGATGGATCTTTGGGAAATCCTGAAAGAAGGATAGCAGGCTGGCCTACATCCAGGATAGGAACCATCCCACGCTGGAACATTTTATGGCAGGTTCTGTTTTCAGAAAGAGAATTTACAGAATTTTCTATGATAAAATATCTGTTTGTTCCCTTAGCTCAGGCACAATGCAAACTATATTAGCATAACATTAGTGAAAAAAATAGATGCAGTACATAGAACAGGTTCAAAAGAGGTAATTCTTGCTGAATTAGAATAGCCTATATCAACACAATGCTATTATAAAACAGGATGTTCAGTAAGAATTATTTTCCCCCCTTTGGTTATCTTCAGAGAAAACAGCAGAGTTCTTCCTGCAGCACCTGGATAGTGCCTGTGTGTTCTGGAATGCCAGCACCCGCTTCTCAGATGGCTATCGTTTTGGGCTGGGTAAGGGAATGTGCTACGTGCCCTGGGTACACTTGAAGCTAAATGCAAAAGGTGAAACATGTCTTGAGATTAAACCTATCTGCATTTCAAGTAGGATTGAATTTCTTTCTGATACTTGGTATGCTAAGGAGATTTGCTAAACTGTCTTGAAAAGCTTTTGAATATTTTAGTATTAGAGTAATTTAAGCCAAAATACGGGAAGAATTTTGATGAGTGTGTGATGACAGGTAGAGGTTATCCAAGGAGAAGAGCGCTAAAAACTAGTGTAAGAGGTAGCTAAAATGCCCTGTTCAGGAAGTATTGTGGGAGAGATGCAATTGAACCAGTGCATAATCAAGAAGCAACTGCTGTTGACAGTAGCCTGTAAGAACCAGAGTATGACATGAAGGATAAAGCAAGAGCTTTAGATGAAAACATGCAGGCATTTAGCATAAGAATGCAATTCTAATAGAAATGTATCAGATACAAATGATTGGCTGGACATGGAGAAATTAGCTGCTTTCCATTTAGTGCTGCATCAGAAAAGGAATTGCAATAATCTGAGTAAGAAGAAAATGTTAAGGAGAGAACGATCTGACAAGTCAAATGCTAGAAAGCAGTAGAAAAGGAATGAATGAATGCTGGCGAGAATTTAAAATGAGTGAAAGCATGTTCTGGACAACAGGGCCTGTAACATTAGAATATTTTTTTCCTATTCTGTTTCTTTTTTTAAAAATCCATTTCTGTTCTATCCTTCTCCGTCAGGTGCTGAGGTTGGCATCAGCACATCGCGGATCCATGCCCGTGGGCCAGTGGGAATTGAAGGGCTTTTGACGACCAAGTGGTTGCTACGTGGGGACAATCACATTGTTTCTGACTTCTCCGAGCAAGGGACCATGAAATACCTTCATGAAAACCTTCCCATTCCACAGAGGAACACTAACTGAGAATCTGAGTGAAGAGCGTGGTACTTGTTAGGGCTGTTACAATTTCAGAACCTAGCCTGGAAAGGACATGGACTTTCTCCAGGCTTGCAGTGTTTTCTGCACTTTCAACTTTCGGGATACTCAGGAGTGTGGAAAGTGGGATTCTGTGCTTTAGTTTTTTTCTCCCCCACTCAACTGCATTCTGTAGGCGACAAGTGCAGATGCATAAAGGATCTCTTGCAGTGCAGGAAAAAGAACTGTTGATCTTTCTTTGATGATGATGACATACCATCAAGTCGTTTCCATACTTCACTCCAGATCAGAGGGAAGGTTTTGGCTAGAAGTAGAACTGAATGCCTTTTTTTCTCCAATGCTGTTCTTGCTTTGGGAAAAACACTGGGGAATTTTTTTTTCTTCCTCCTCCTCTAGAGATTCGTAGCATCTTCTTTTAATTTTTAAAAGTGTTCTACCAGTTCATGTCTTATTTAAAATGTTGAATCACCTTAATAAATATTCCAGGTACAGAATGAATGGTCTTTATCCTCCAAACTTTTTTCATGTCTAGTTTCCTTTAATTACTGGCTGCCTTGTGGGATAAGAGGGTGGGAGAGTAATAGTTGTATATCTGTGAGGGTTTTCACAAAGACCCTTTTATGAATATTTGTATCAAATACTTTATTCATGAATTTTATATAGAATTTTATTTCCCGAGACAGAAACATATTTTTCAAATGTCATGGTTTTGCAAATAAAACTCCCTTGCAATAAGTTTGTTGATTCAACCATTTTGTTCACAATATATATTGTGTTGTACTAGTGATGGGTGACACATTTATATAGTATGCAACACATTGTGCAGTTATACTTGATTAGCACTCACATTATTGCTTGTGCAAAATCCTTTTAATTTTCAAGCTCACGTAAACTCTATGAGTTAAGTGGTAATTATTTCCATTTTGAAGACAGCATTCAGAGCAAGATGCTGATCTGCCCATATTAGCAAGCTTCCAACTGAACTATGAAGTCATGTTTTTGAGATCCAATATTGGCACTTGATCTTCTGAACTGGACTGCTTTCATTACATCTCTCACAGGTTCAATTCATGGTAGTTTTCAGTTTAATTTTAAATGATAAGTTGTATGTTTATGTGTGTATTCCTGTATTTTGCTTAACTAAATAGTCCAGTGAAAACTGTGGCAGTCCTTTGTGCTTTTTCCAAGGAGGGTTGTTATCTGGAGCTATGAAAGCTTCTGGGGGATGTAGAAGTATATGGATATTATTCTAAGTTTTCTAAATTCTGGTAAACCTCAACCTTAGCACTGAATTTTTATATTTCAGATATTTATAACCTACTATTCCTACACATTCCGTACAGGAGGAAAAATTCCTTAATCTAGTCTCTGTTCTGTAATGCCCAAACAGGAGCTCAACATCCTTTTTGCGTTTCCTGGCTTAGAAAGCTATACTTTTGACAGGACTTGATGTCTTTGGTACACTCTGTTATAGCTCTCTACCATTGGAATTAGTTTAAGAAAATTACAATAGTGAAGCTCCAAGTGTGGGAAGGATTCAATTTTGTTTTGAGCATAGATGAAGTGGGCTATGTTGCCCATTGACCTTAATCCTCTTCCCACTTCTCTGACTCTCATTGGTTGTGGGGGTGGGGGTGCATCTTAGTTCTTTCCCAAAGCAGGAACAGGGCACTGGCAATTTTAGTATATGTGTATACGTAGTACTGCACTGTTTCTGCATACCATGGTGTGATGGAATGTATCTATGAAGAGGAAGGTGATGTGAGAGATCAAGGCTATCAGGAAGGAGGGGGTGCATTCCAGGAAGGGAAAGGAGACAAAAGACAACCCAGTCCGCAGGGGGAGTGTGGGAAGCATAAGAGGTTCAGCATAGCCACTCCCTAGAATCTCCCAAGGTATATCCGCTTGTTGCAGTAGTATAGATTTAGTCTGGCAAGATTCTGTCTATAAGGTAACCAAATAAAGGAACTTAACTGTTTCACTGTTGTTCTTGGGCTGGGCCTGACACGTGGGGGCAAAGTCTCATGATTGCAGTGAGTGTAAATACAATAAATAAAATGCTGCACGTGTTTTTCTAACTTACTGATTTTCTTTATGTTTGATAGTATACTGCAAACTTGTTACATATGCTGCTTGTTTTCCCATACACTCACATACCTGGTATCTGATTTATGTTGTCTGTGTATATACTGTCTTTGGGGAGAATATTGAGACAATGCGCACAAACTGTTCCATAATGACATACCAGCTTTGGAATGACTTCATGTCAGGATTGTTTTGCTTTTATTTTCTTGCTGATCTTAATGTTGTTCAAATTCTGTTTTATTAATCTTGTGAGCTTAAAATTGTTTAGAACATCTATGTATGTATTAATTGGTCTCTTCCTTATGAACTTTCTGGACAAATGAAGGAGTTGAAGAAGAAATATCCACTATTCTGTGACATGAGTGATACAAAAGGACCTTATGTGGCTGTCTTTTTACATTGCACTAATTGGTATCTTTCTGGATTGGTAAATTTGATTATTGATTACGTGCGATCAAGTCATTTTTGACTCCTAGCGACTACATAGATAGGTTTTCTCCATGATGATCTGTCCCTAACCTGGTCTTTCAGGTCTTCCAACATTGCACCAATTGCCACTGTAACTGAGTCCATCCACTTTGCTGCTGGTCGTCCTCTTCTTCTCTTCCCTGGTAAATACTTAGTTTAATTCTGAAATTGCTGTGTCACTATGTATGTGGTTTGGGTAAGTATGGCAATTCTATAGACCAGGGTTATAATACATTATATAATCATTTGTCTACTGACTAAGTTTTTCGTGTTTGACATCAGCTTGAACATGATACACGTAGCACATTAACATTGTCAAGGTCACTCTTGTTCAATACTAGAAATACCATCTAATCAGCTGTTTTGGTGTAATAGTTTTTTGGTCTTGTAGCATGCTAAATGCTTTAATACATAGTTTATGCCATCCCTACAGTCTTGAGAGGCCACACTGCTCCTGGTTATTGATCTGGTCATTGATCTGAAGCTAGACTGGAGTGGACTGAATATATTTGCTGTATGGTGACTGAGCTTATACAAGCCCACTGCTAAAACTGCATGTACTCTGGATGGAATTTCAGGGAAGACTGAAAAAAAGATGCTTTCATTTTATCTTGGGCATTGGAGAAGCAAAATATATGGGGCTCTGGATAATTTATAATTTAAAAAGAGCATGCTGTATGCTTTGAAGGCTATTCAATAAGATGAACTGCTGACATGGTGGGCCACTTTTTACAATATGTCACCGACCAAAGACAGTACTGTATTCAAGCCCTTATTAAAAAGGAAACCTACTTCATGCTTCTTTAGAGCAGCCTTTCCCAAGAGATTAGCATTTCTGTGATTAGTCTGTCATGACACATCTTAGTGCCTCTACTGTTCCTCTGATCATCCATAATATGCATGCCCAAAACCCGCAAATGCCCATTGGATCTTAACACTCTGAATAACTTGGGAATTCAGCAACACAAACATAAAAACATATATCTCTAAAGAATATTTTTCATCCCTCCAGCCACGTGTTGTAGTGTGCCAGTTTCTGGGAATCTTTTCTCCTGCCCTCCCACATACTGCAATTCCATTGTTGTTGATTTGTTCTCCTTTTTGATTCTTCTAAAGATTATCTTCTAAAGTTTAATTCAAACATTCTGTGTCTGTTTTCACTGCTTATTTGGACGTCTTGCTTGCTTGTTCTAGAGAGGGAAACACATGGTTTCTACCCAAAAGTAATACAGTAGTTGATGGTACATCTCTGAATGGCTTTTGCTCTGAACAGGTGCTAACAGAAGCACTGTGACCACCCAATCATCCCCAAGGGAGTGCAAAAATAAATACAGAAATTTTTAAAAAAAATTATGGGTTTCTAACTTTGCCAAAGAACAAAAGTCCTCAACCTGCCTCAGTCCTTCTGTTAATTCCAGACTCCTGTAAGAGTGCTATTTCCTGATTCTGGCAAAGCCCAATTTCTTCTGCTCTCCAGACGGTACATTTTCTTTATTAATTCTAGTTTACTTTATTTCCTACTTCGTTAGTACACTCATTGATCTAGCAAGTGTCTTTTGTTTCCAGGTTAATAATGTTATTTTAAAAATTATTATTCTAAGGTTATGTTCAGGCTCAAATCAATTTGCTGCAATTTTTGGAGAAGGTTGGAACAGCCTGTAATATAATCCTTGAGGCTGCCAGCAGAATAAATATAGCACAGCACACAGATGGCTACAGAACAAGGGATCCAGGCAATCTACAATCCCACTACTTTTGGGTATCCCTGTTTCCTGTTCTTCTCAGCTCCTCCCCAAGAAATCTTCAGCAACTCTTCTCTTGCTGTGATACCGTCATTCACCGCCAAATGTTGTCCCTCTGCAAGGTCACTGATTCTTTGTTCATTAGCAATTCTAGGTCAGCTTGCTGTGAGAGTCTCCTCACTCAGGAGAGAGTCACATTCTGTATCAATGTCTCCAGACAACAGCCCTTCCCAAGCTTTCAGCCAGGCCAATTGCTGAGAATCCCTGTCTTTGATGATCCTTCGGAGGACTTGTATACATACTTTGAGCACTGCAGTGATATCATAGAAGACACCATCCAAAGAGGCGGGAAGTGCTTAGTGTACTGTAAAAACGGCCGCAGCAGATCTGCAACTATCTGCACTGCTTACTTGATGAAACATCAAAAGCTCAGGCTGAAGGATGCCTTTGAGGTATTGTGAGCATGCTGAAAATAAAAATTACTTCTGTATCTGATTAAACGGACTTGTATTTTGGTGATGTGTGAAACAAATACTGAAATATTTAACTGGATGGAATATTTTAGCCATCTCAGTAATCATGATTCAGCATTTTGTTTTGTAAAGGAACTTAACAAAAGGGCCAAAACACAATTGAATTATGAAAATAGCTAATTTAAGTCTCATCTGGTTAACTCTGACAGGAACTTAAAAAAAAAAAACCCTGAGGACTAAATGTAAACCATTTTAACATATCTGATTCAAGAGCAAAAAATATCCATAAAATGAAATTTGTCAACTTAATTGATGGAAGTTTGTACTTTCTTCAGCATTTAAGTATTGTATCACTTTTTTAATGCCAAACATTTCAGAAATAGCCTTTCCATGCTACTTTTACTTGCAAACTGGTTTCTGAAAGATACCACTTATTTCCTTAAAAGTTCATCTTTTTCTATGAAAAGCAAATTATTTTATTCTCCCCCACCCCTGAGATTGGAAGCTAGCTGCTCATGCTATATATTCTCATCTGCTCTCAGAATCCAGTTTTTGTGTTGTTTTGAAAACTTGACTGAGCAACAATGAGAGAAAGGAAATGTGTGTATACAAGAGATGGTGATGCTAGAGTCAGACTTCCAATTTTCTTTCATAATATTGTCATGCTCCAGAATTAGTATAGCTTTCAGCTGAGTTACCTTCAGTCATGACTTTAGAAAAAAAGTGGAGGGGGGGGCTTCCCTTTGAACTCCTTGGAATCATTTCACTACCTTTAATTTATTCTAAACAATCCATTTTGTAAATGATGAGTGTAAACTCAGGCTTCTCTGCCTTGGAGTAACACAAATGAATCTTTTTCTTGAATCACAAATTGCACTTCGGCTAGGTCACAGAAGGCTAAACCAGTATTTAGATGCAAGCATCTAAATGCTGATTTAGTTTAATTCAAATCATACCTTCCCCTCCAAATTCACTGAAGCATATTATGTAAACAGGGCCCAACTACATTGTTGAGGACAAGTTAATATGCCAGATGAACCTAGGAAAACTGGATTAAATAATTGGAAGGGCTTAGTTTTAACCACAAACCGGCTTGTTTTAGGCATTCCATTTCACTGCTCATTTTAATTTTCATTCCCTCAACCAGACCAGGCGGGTGAAGAGAAGAAAAGGAATGGTAGGTCATTGACTCCCACCAGAAAGAAAGAAAGAAAAAAAAAATGACAAAAGCAGGAAGTGAGGTGGGAAATAACCTCTCAACTTCCTTTATGGCCATATAAGAGCTAACAAAATGGCTACTGGCCCAAGCAACACAGATCACGTGCTGCCAGCATCCAAAGATGAATACATTGACCAAAGGAAGGAAATAATAGCACTATTATCCTGTTTGATTCTCCTATAGCTGCAATCAATCTCCTTTTAAAATGATTATTAGTATACTAAAATTACAAACGTTCATGTGCAGAAGACACTGTTCAACTTGTGTTTCAAGTTGAAGGTTGATGGTTCCCCAGAAGAATGTCTAAGTTGTTCTATTAAACTGCCTTCTAACTTCATAGCCCTGCTAGAGCTATTGGGAAGACCAATACCCAGGAAGTTGCCTTACTTCACATCAGACTGCTTCTCCTTCTAGCCTAGTATGGTTTGCTCTGATTAGCAGTAGATCTTTGGGTGCCAGTGGCGTCTTCCCCCTCACTGCTGTTTTATCCTTTTCACTGGATATGGCTGGGATTGGACCTTGGACCTCTTGCATGCAAAATATATGTCCTACCACTGAGCTGTAACGTTTTCTTATAACAATTGCTTGCTACCTCCTTCATAATTCTAGGATAAAATGCTTGGGAGGGAAAGTCCTTATGATCAGTGCAATGTGCTTTTTCCCTACCTTGCAGATTGTGAAGAATGCCAGGCCGATGGCAGAGCCCAATGCAGGATTTTGGTCTCAGCTACAGAAATATGAAGACCATTTGCAAACATAGCAGCAAGGAACTCTTTCTCCAAAAACAATTTCACATAAGAAATATATTGATTCAGATTATAATCTTGGGAAATTCCTGTAAAGAGGAAGATTTAAGATACTTCTGGGTAATAGCTGAATTTAATATATTAAAAAAAACTCGGATCAGCTACTGTATTATTGTAGACTTAAGAAACTTTACCTGAAAACTTCTGTAAAAATCTTTTAGCACATCACAAGGCATAATTCAAATCTCTGCAATCTGCTCCATTTTAAGACTATAATTAAATGCAATTATGGTGGGTTGGCCAAACCTTTTTGTGGGACAAGAGACTCTTCTGATGGTGTTGTTGAATGTCAGCAGCATGGTTTTTCACCATTCTGAGGTAAAAAACATGCCAGCGTTGTAGTAGAAGCCCTAAGTTAGTTCGATGTTTGCTTAAACAGAATCATACTCCCTCAAAACAAGGGTGAGGGGGAAGAATTCCTGTCAGCATCTCCCATTTTGTGACATCTGTGCCCTATGCTTGCTCTAGCCTCCATCTACCAAAAGATTGCCCAGCCCTGCTCTGTGGTTTGAAATCAGTGACTGGTGCCTCATTGTTCTGTCCAATTTTAAGCTGTTATTGTTGTTTTGAATAATGAAGAGTTATGGGGAATGTAGAGCTGGCTTATGACTGACTTATACTGCCTTATAACTTTCCCAAATTCTTCAGGTTAAAGACTTCAAAAAACCTACAGCAAATTGTGTCTGGTCTGGTCACAAAGATTCCTGAAATCTTTCATGTGGAAATTGAGTCTGCAAAGATTTTTCAGGCGAAAAATAAGAAACAAATACTGTTAAACTGTTTTTCTTGAACAAGCTGAAAAATCACATAAAGGCCAGACTTTGAAAATTATTGCACAAAATCAAGTTGCAATAAAAAATTGAAAATTTGTTTAAAACATTTAATGTAAGTTTGCTACAAATGTGTCTTGCTTCATCTACTATATAGATTTTGACAATGGTAAAGAGGCATTACATATATAAAAGTATCTGTTCTCTTCTGCTTGTCTTATTAGGACAATATGTTCAGATGCTAGTAATGCATGATAGAGAGTTGCACAGAATGGATAGGGAGTACTATATACAGTATAAAATAGTTAATTTGGACTTAACATCTAAAATAAAGCTACCCTTATTTGTAATTTATATCTCTATTTATTTACAATATTTGTAGACCATTTTAATCAAAAAGACTCTGGGCAATGCAAAACAAGGAGAAAACTTTATTAATTAGACCCATTAAAACATACAATAATAAAACAATTAACACAATACAGTCAAGTGCTCACACATAATCACTCCACAGGTCAAAAACTTATTAAAATAAAACAGTTTTCAGGGGCTTCTGGAATGCAAGGAAGCCGATACAAATACTTTCATGTCTCACTGTTCACATTAGGGCAAGGAATCCAGGTAATGTTAGACTACAACCTCATTATCCTTGATGCTAGTTAAGTGTTGTCTAGCAACAGTTGTCCCAGAGATTTATTACCTCCATTTAATTCAAAAATACATCAGCTCGAGTATTTGCTTGTGACTTGGCATATTTGTTTGAAAAAACCAGTGAATGGTGACCCTTCATTTTATACATATCATTTTAGGAGCATTCTAGCTTGTAGGAAGCAGTATTTTCTTTAGAAAACTTCTGTTATTAAACCTTAATGGCTAGTTTTTAAAATGAAAAATAGCTTGGGAGAAGAGAGAAAGCCAAAGTGATAAACTTTTCTCACACTTAAAATTTTCCACTCTGATCTCCCAGTTTTTCCCATCCTAAATGAAAATATCTTCTCACTATTTGTATGTTTCAATATTTCTGCTCTTAAAATGGTTACTCTTTTTTTTAAAAAAGTTATTTAAGAGTTTCTTACATTTATTTGTGTAACATACACTTTGCTCCAAAACTCTTGAAGATTGTACCAGCTTTTATGTATTTATTTATCGTATTCATATAGCCACTCGTCTCACATAAAGTGACTTTTATATAGAAGTATTCTACATACTAGCCTTATTTCCACAACGTGCCCTCCGGGTTATGCTGAGACCTCAACTGCTAGAATTCTCAAGCATACTAAGAATTTTTCATTGATTGGAAATTTTGATATTTACATTTTTGAGGAACACCAAGTGGGGATTAAATTGATATAGAGTTCTAAACAGCAGATGTTATAATAATGTAACAAAGTTAGGGTTAGGGTTAGCAACTTAGCATTCCTGGCCACTGGAGTTTTGTAGTCATTGTAAGTGGTAAACTAGAAATCCTTCAATTCAGATCTAATTTCTACCACTGAGAACTCCCACTTTCCCTGTCTTCCATCTCTGCAAAATTGGTTTAACATACAAACTATTATAAGGCTGGTATGTACTTTGGACACAATGCCTACAGATCTCAGAATAAGTCTCACTGATCTCAGTAAGACCTGAATAAAATTGCACCGAGGAGACTATCACAGATAGGGAATCTTATCCCCTAAATATTCCTGAATTGCACTTCCCAGTAGACCCAGCAAACATGGACAATAATAAAAGATGCTGGGAGCTGTAGTTCAGTAGCATATGAAAAACCACTAGTTCCAGTCCCTGCTTTATATAAATTATTGTATTCTAATTGCTTTGAAAACCATTTTGGTGTAATCATTAAATGCACTAGAAACGGAAACCACGAGTGGCCAGCTGTGTGACTTTGGGCTACCCAAGGTCTCCCAGCCATAGGAAGGTGGCAATAGACGACCACTTCCAAGCAATGTTGCCAAGAAAACTGGATGGTTTTGTCCATGCAATCCCATTCTGACTTGATGGCTATATAAATATCTTTGGAGCTTTGTAAGCCACACCCATGAGCTTGGAGGGAAGTTTAGGCATTAGACATAGATGATATATAAAGATATATAAAGATATTTATATAGCCTTCAAGTCAGTGTTGACTCGTGGGGATTGCATGGACAAAAACATGCTCTCTCTCTCTCAAAGTATCTTCTCTAGATACTTGAGAAATCAGATTAGCTCCTTCCCAGATGTACATTTTATTGTACATTTTAATGTACATTTAAATCTTCAATCCTCCAAAGTTCTAAGTAGTTTTATTCTGGAAATTATAACTTTATAATGTCCCAAAATAATATGACCTAATACATTTAACAAATTAGGAAAAATAAGTCATTTTCCATGATTTTATGGTTTAAATAATTTTCATGAGGAAATGTTACATATGCCATAATGTTCATTATAATATTCAGCACTAAAATGAAAAACTACTTAAGGGCTTTTCCCCACTGTTGAGTTGAAATACCTCCCCTCCAAGCTCATGGGTGTGGGTTATAAACCCGCAAAGATTTTGCACATCTTGAGTTTGTTCTTAGTGTCAGAATAGGAGGAAAATACAACTTTAACACCAATACAACTAAGGGCAATTTAAACTTGTCTCACTCTTTGACTGAGGATAAGATGATGGCAACATCAGATATCGCCAGGGCATAGTGCCATGAATGGGAGAAATAAATGGGAGATTGCCCTAAGATAAATGTTACAGAGGAAGAGATGTGTTAGGGCTGTGCCAAAGCTTTAGACAAGGGTGCTTCACAAACTGTGTTAAGCATAAATGAAGCTACCTCCGTGAAATATTAAAGCACCACATTCTTTGGAAGCTTTGCAGCTTCTTCAAGAGCTATTTCTGGTTGCTTCTCTGTTGAACGTGCAATTGGGGAAGGCTTTTAAAACAGCTGTTGCAAGCCTTCCAGAAAATGCAACAGGTGCTTTAACACTTGAAGGAGGGTTGGGTTATGGACACTAGCATACTTTGCAAAGTGCCCCTTTCAAAAAGTTTGCACAGTGCTATTTTGATTTGGGTTAGAAAATGTAAATATATTTTAAATAATTTTTTAAACATAATCTTTGGCAGATGTGACTGTCTTAGCCTGTTTGATGTAAATTTGTGGTTCATCAACTGTTGCTGAAGCTGCGTAATGATATCCATGGTCTCTGTAATTAAAAAAAGATATAAATATATTACATTCCCCATTCTCTCTGTTTAATATAATTGATCTAGACATTATCAACCCACACACACACACTCCATATTGTTAAACTGCAAAAAAAAAAAAAAAAAAAAAAAAA